CATTATACATTTTTAAGGGTTCTTTGGATATCTGGCATATTTTATTACACATTTCCTATATACAGTTTAATTTTTGTTAAGGTGGAGTAAACCCTCCTTAGGTTTACAGACAAAGACTGATCCTAAGCAAAATGTGAAAGATACTTAGTTCAAATGAAGGACCATTTCAGTCTTTTCTTGGATCTAACGGAGTTTTTTGGATGCCCCAATTCTGTTTTACGTACATTTTTTTTCATAGCAGGATAGTGGTCCTTTTTGAGAGAAATAAAAAGAAAAAAAAATCTGAGTAAGGATGCTGGCTGATCTTTTAAAAGTGTGCTCTTTTTAGTATAACAGTAAAGAAACAAGCAATTTTTGTCTAGGGTTTATATTCCAAATTTCGCACTAAAATGAAATGAACATGGTCCTTTCCCCATAAGCAGAGTCCTTGACTGGATATGACTGTTCGCTGAGGACTAGTGAACTAGAAATCAAGATCTTTGTAATCTCTTAATTCTGTCATTTAAAATGATGTCAATTTGATAGAATGGCTTTCTCATTTTCTTCATTTGCTTCATTTTCTTCATTTGCAAAATTACTTTATGATAGTGGAAGGAAGCTGCACTCGAAGAGTGTTTATTATGTGCTTTGAGATCATTAAAGCTGATATCACTTTGCATACCAAGTGGAAGTATTCATATTCTTAATATACTAAAGTTTCAATACCAGCAACCTTTAACAAATAACATATCATGACCAATAGTTTATGCATAATTCCATGATGTAAATGTGTCTTCAGTAATTATTCCCTCCTCTGAAATCTTGACATGAGCATTATCTGTGCCACTCACATTGGGACTTAGTATAAGCCATTTTCTATTGTTATTTATCTTTATATGCATATGTCCTATTTATCCAAACAGATTGTGAGCTCTTGAGGGTGGGGGCTGTGTATCCCTAGCTTCTAGCAATTTGCCTTACACTTAATGGATGCTTAATTAGTTCTTGTTGATGGTTAGGACAATGTTTGGTCAGAAACACATTCTCTCAGTCTCCTGAACAACAAATTATTTGTGGAATTGATTCTACAATAAGAACAGTGCTACTATGAAAGAGGGGAAAACATATCACTCATTATTTGTTGCATCTCTGATAGTCTCTCAACATGCATTCGAGGTCAACTGGAACAGTAGCCAATAATATTTAACCACCAAATATGTTTTACTGATATCTATCTATAGCATAAAGTTGTCCATTGATCATTATCAAATTTGTATGATTACTCTTTATAAAAGATTGGCAACGACCAAATTAAAATATCTACAGTGTTTACTCTGTTACACTATAAATAAGATTAATTTGCTTTTTCATTCATTTTTTCTAATTCTCCACAATAAATTCAATTATTCTTATAGACAAAAAAAGGGAAATTCTAAAAATGTTTTTTCTATTCTGATAAACCAAAGTATAAAAAATTTTAATAGTATAAATGCCATTCTACATATTAATATCTTATTTAAATTAAAATATAACATAGGAGCCTTGGTCAGGTTGCTCAATTGGTTGAAGCACCGTCTTATACACTGAAGGGTCACGGGTTTGATTCCTGGTCAGGGCACATACCCAAGTTGCGGGTTTGTCCCCTAGTCAGGGTATGTATGGGAGGCAACCAACTGGTATCTCACACTGATGTTTCTCTCTCTTTTTCCCTCTTCTTTCCTCTCTTTCTAAAATCAATAAAAGCATATCCTCAGGTGAGGATTTTAAAAAATCTAACATAGAAAAGACTAACTGCAGAAACCGTATTGGCAAGGGTGATAGTTAATTGACAATATTGAAAAGGACAATACTTCAATAAACATAAATGCTACTTGTTAAAAGTCCTTTAAGATGTTTTAAATTAATACATTAATACTTAAAGGTGGGCTATCCTTGCCTCCATCTTCAGAGGATTCATACCAGGACAAAGACCAAGGTTCTAAGCCCAAGGGAAAACTGTTGTTGAATTAATACCAAAAAGACTTAAGGAATGTCTCCATTAGTCAGGTGTCCAGTGGATACACTTACATAACTTCCTAGGTATGCATTTGTTACCATCAATAATTCAAATGGATTCCCCAGACAGGTAATTAAAGATAGATGCTATTGCAACACTAGCACATTTCATTAAGATTGCTTTGGATGTATCCCTTCCAAATAGGACTTGATGGAGAAAAAGGACTTCAAGAGATGTTTGTCCAAAGGAGGCTTCAAAGGAAAATGGAGACCAGTAGCTCTTGCCTAAAGTTGTCACATTTTCTGAAAGGTTTTTCTTTATCCACTTCACGCCTGTATCTGTCACTTAGGCAAAACATGTTATAGAAAGAATACATTAGTAAGGTTTAATATCAAACATTTTATGTCTGTTAGTTCTACATCACTTTAGATTGTCATCAGGAGTTGCTCAATCAAAAGGTTCAGTCAAAGCTAGCATTCTTTACTGATGTCTTTTTTCCCCAAGAGTGTTGAAAATTCGATTGTTCAAAGTGCAAATATGATTCCAAAGATCATTTGTCAGAAAACCTAAAGAGGTCATGTAAAAAAAGTGGATTGAGAACCTGAATTAAATGGGCTTTACCAGTCAAAGACTTTGAAACTGCTTTCCTGTGAGGGACTGGAATGGAAGAACAGAACAAAGTCAATTACTGTCTGTAATTAAGAAGTGGATGCTTTTAAACTGTAGAGAGCAGTAGCAGACTTCTCCAGACTGCCTAGTAACTCAAAAGATCAGTGGGAAGACAGGGGGAAGGATGTGAACTGTATCTCTCTGATAGCATGTTTTGAAGGAATTGTGTTTGTATAGTTCTCCGATCCAGCTTCCCAAAATAAATGCACAAATCAATGATTACGTATGATTAATGCAGTGAAATACTTGGACAGAGAAACTCTTAAAATACATTTTTCCTTGCGGTTGTTTTAGCAGTAAAAGATCTCCTTTCCATTGCATAGGATGCACCAAGATGCAAATGTACTGCTTCAGTACTTATATTTTATCAGTTTGCACTTACTGGCCTAGAAACTGAACTATGTTGGTTTTATCCGATACCCTCAGATTACAAAAATCTAATTATGTTTGTTTCTTGTACTTTGAAAATTTTCTTTTTCATAATTTTCCTAATGGTTTATGTATAATGTCAGGGAAATATATTGTAGATTATGTTTGGGCTAATTTATTTTTCTTTTTTGTATGCTAACAAATTGTGATGTGATGTAACACAGTCATAATCAAAATATTTACTTTAGATGAAGATGAAGGTCGGGGTCAAGGACGTTGCCAGCTTTCTTGGGTTCGTTAGAAGTGACCTTATATTTTTAGATTGCTATTTCTGTGGCAACACTTTATAAAGTAAATATTTGGGATTTTATGCAAGTAAAGAATACTGCAAGGGTGTTCAGATAATTAGGCAAACATCAGCCTAACTGTCTTTTACTAGATACATAAAACAGAAGACTATTTGGAGGCTATTTTGAGCCATCCCAAATCTTACATGCAATTCTACTTTTTTTTTTAAAAAAAAAGAGTGATTGTCCCTGGTAATCTGTCAAATTCTAGTGTGGGTAATAAATTTCCTCTTATTTCCTAAACTTTCACTTCTCATAATTGCATACAGTTTGGATAGTTCCTCTCCTTACAGTGGTAAAATGTTGGTATCGGTCTCCCTTGACAATGGTTGCCCTGCAGTAGTGATGTTGCATCTCTATATAGTTTGTCTAAAAATAAATGACAAATATTTATGTATGTGTGTAATCGAAGATTTCTTTCACACTCTGGGATCATTGTTATTAAATGTTGCCATAAGAATCACTGAAACCTTCAGAGTGAGCTATTTTGGGTAATAATTGTCACTTTAATGATAGAATTATGGAGACAGCCTGAAGCATGATTTGTGATTTCCTGAACCTCTGCCACATTTCAGTGTTCACCTCCCACTTAGAGCAAGTAAGGCTGAGAAGAGGTGACTAGCTCCTGATTCAATATGTTGAAATGTCAGTACTCTAAACCTCCAAAGCCTTGCTTGATGTGTGACAGCAGTCAGGAAATGTTCATCTTCCTGTTGAAACAAAAAGTCAATAATACAGAGGGAAAATCTTCACAGTTCAGATTGATGGCCTAATACAGAAAGCGTGCCCACACCCACTCTAATCAAATTCTTCTCTACCTAGCCCTTTATGTGCGAAATCAAGAGCATTGCCCTGTTTCTATAGGGTCCCATCCTCTCTCACAATTCTAGGGAGAAAGAGATTTACTGCAATGAAAAACACATCGTTACATGCTAAATATTGCCAACTATTTAACAGCCCTGAGAATCTGGAATGGGAATGTTCATTTGATAAATACTCTCCATGAGAGGTTCGAACATGCAAATGAGCTTCTATTCTAATATACTCCCTTTGTAGGGAAATTGGTCCTTTATTAATTTCCTATAGATCTTTATGATAGGAAAGTAGAAATAGCCAAATGTTATTCATTTGAATGACCTTTTAGAAAAGTCTGCATTTAGCCTCTTTGGTAAATAATCTGTTTTAGAGCTCCCCATAAAAGGAAATCAAATATAGCGATACTATTAGATTTGAAGAAGACAAACAGGAAAGAGCCAAAGTGCAGAATGAATTCTGACACACCCGGGTGCATTTTTCTGAGGTTCTGACTTAAGTGGATACTGTCTGCATTATTCTGAACTTCCTGGCTTGCTTCTCCTTGAGTTGGAGTAATTCAGCTTTAGAACTACTCTGAGTTAATCGTTCTATTATGAAAACAATAATGTATTTGTTATGACATGAAAAAAACAGTTTATAGCGAGCATTTCAAAATGATCCTGGTCTCCCAGTTCCCAGAAAGACAATTACTGGAATACAAGATAATATTTCAGTGTATTGAAGTGTTTTTATTTTTTAAAAGGATATATATTTTATAAAATGTAAGAAATCTATTTTATCTGGTTTGCTTACCTGTCACTTTTTTTTTTTTTTTTTCCCCTCAGATCACAACAGCATCAGGAAATGAGTTCCTTCTACAGTCAGATATTGACTTCATCATATTGGATTGGTTCCACGCTATCAAAAATGCAATTGACAGATTGGTATGTATTTGTTTTGGCTGTTACCTTTATTAATTAAAATGTAGTCATTTAAATCTTATTGCTGAGGCATATAACACGCACACATTTAAATGGATCCTATGGATTGAGAGATATTAAGTTATTTTAAGTTTAAATAGAGTCCACTAAAAACATTTCAGCGGACAGGATTTGTGAAACTAAATGTCATTTGATTTTGCTCTTTCAAAAACACAGGGCATTCATATAATTTTTATGAAATAACACGAACATTCATCTACTGGAGACTGTAAAAAGCACACAAGCGCCTAATAACTACTGAAAATTCACATTTTCAGTTAATGTAGTCTGTAATGCATATTCTTGAAAATAAATATTAATGTATTAAGCTCATATTCACTGTTACAATACCAGTAAATAATAATCCTTTGTACTGATTTTCATTGTTCTTTCAGTTATCTAGAACTTCATGAAATTACCCTAAATCCTTTATTCAGCGAAGATTTTATAGAGTCAAATTATTTAAGACTACTAAGTTTATACAGATTCTAGACCAAACATCTCATTTTAGGACACTAATATTTGCAAAATCTTGAGGAAGAAATATTTTTGAGAGCTTTTAATAAGGTTTACAGCAGGAAACTACACTTTCTATGTGATTTCATTGCTAATTGAAGTCATTCATCCTATCATTTTGATTTGGGGACTAAAACTTTAAAAAATAAACTAACAAAATGACTTTTCTCCATCTCCAATATATGCTGATTTCCAGGCAGGTATGAGTGTTTGTGCCCCACCCCACCCCCACGCGCACACACACACGTGTAGAACTGCGCACACACACACACACACACACACACACACACACAGTTTGTCATTAAGAGTGGACTCTGGAGTCAAACTGCCTGAGATTAAATCCTGATTGTATCCTTTACTAGCTGTGTGGCCTTGGACAAATTACTTATCTCTTTTGGCTATAGTTTCCTTGTCTGGAAAGAAAGGATAATAATAATACCTACCTCATAGGATTACTGTGATGAATTATTGAATTAATGCATGTGGAGTGCTTGGGGTAGTGCACAGGATTTAGTAAGCACCATAGTTATATATATAAAACTATTATTAAATTTGAATGGTCTTCTTAGCATAGAGGCCCCATTCCCAAAATAATTATCTTATTTTAAATGTCCTTTTAAATCTAACATCAAAATAGATCCAAAAATTATTTTCTGAGTTCTTTCTTCCTTGTAAATTTGTTCTGACTAATTGTCTGGTGTTTCCAGCCAAAGGATCCAAGTAGTTCATCAAGAAACCTGGAATTATTCAAAATCCAGAGATCCTCCAGTACTGAATTACTAAGTCATTCCGATAGTGACATAAAAGAACAGAAACCAGAGCACAGAAAATCTTTAAGTAAGTATTTTTCTAACTTGCTCATTTTAACTTTGTCTAACTGCAGTGCTTATGAAATATAAATGCATTAGAATGAGATCTGAGCCAAACACACTACTCATGCGAGATTCGTGGCCATTTCCTGGCCGGGGATTTGTGCACTGGGGGGCAGTCTGGGCATTTTGCTCACATCATTGTTGGTAATGCTGTTTGAGAAAATAATTGTTCCAAGGTCATGGTCTCCACTTACACCAAATATCTGAATCTCTGAGTAATAGCCATGGCGTTCAGATTGGTGATTGATTTTGAGAGTGGAAATGTCAAGCGTCTCCAAACCTCGGTGTGCTGACTATTTGATTTCCATCCATTAAAAGATGTATGAGCGACCACCACAGTTGGCCCAACTTAAACCAACAAACTTCACATTTTCAGACCACCAGAAAGATGTAGAAATATGGGATGTGAATTCAATGTTCTCTAAGGTCACATTTAGTTCTAATATTCTAAAGGAAATGAATTTGGAATTAAAAGGACCAATCTCACCAATTATTTCATGATCTTGGGTGTATCTCTTAAGCTTTCCCAATCTGCTTCTTGCTCAATAAAAAGGGGTTATTAAAATGTGTCAGTCACACGTGTCTCATAGAGTTGGTTTGAGTCCCAACCTCCTGAAGGAAGAAGTAGATACCTTTGGAATCAGAGAAAACCAATTTCCCAAAGTCTCAAAACTTATAGTTTATTTCCTGGATCATCCACCTAGCTACTCCAATCTTCTGATTTACCATTTTTCTGCCATTTCTTCTGACCAAATTGCAGTGTAGTTACATGCTAGTTTTTTTAATTTAGGGAGAACTCAGTAAGTAGAGAAAGAATGCTAAGAGAATATATTTATATTTATATATATATATATATATATATATATATCTTTAGTGCATATATATGTGTATATATATATATAAAACATACATGCATACTTACACACATATAACAAGAAAGAGGAAAACTATTTATATATAACGTATCTTCTAAAGCTAAATAATTAGGAGCCTAAAATAAAGAAATAACATGACAACTTCAAGTAGATTCATTCTTTCAAAGTTAAGTTATTATTTTAAGAACTGAACCATAATTTCACCCACTGCTAGATACATATTTAGTTAGCCAGTTGTGTTAAGTTGGAGTGTAAAATGATCAGTATTAATGTCTCAAACTTCATAGTGCTTTGCAAATATGTTGTGTAGAATTAACTATTCCATTTGAAAAGATTCTTCCATATGATGGTAGAATTTGAGGTTATCTCATTTGAACATTTCCCTTTAACTCCTGGTCATTGTCTCCTTTCACTTCATACGGGATCAGACATAAGGTAAGATTTTGGAATTAAAATTAAATTGTGAGTATGTAATATTAATTACGTAACTATTTGAGGTATATATAAAGGATATGAGGCACTGATTGGAGATCTGGAACTCAGATGTAATTGCTGTTTTAGAGAGACCTTGATACATTTCTAAAGTCTTTATCTCTGGAAAAAACAAAGGTTTGTAAAAGCGTGTTTGAGAAACATTGAGGCAAATGGATTCTTTGTTCAGTAATAGTCATGTGAAATGTCTTAGGATAATACCGGGGCAGGAAATACTGGGGGGCGAGCGGGGGAATACTGGAGGGGAAGTATACCACCTACTCCTCTTTTGAACTGATTTTTAATTGAGGGAGACATTTATTTGTTGTTTGGCAAGAGACACACATGATGTACTCTCTATAATTCAAGGTGGATCTAATTTTATAGTGACCTTAAATTCATCATTTCCTTTGCAGTGCAAAAATAATGATAGCTAGTAAATAGTGAGCTTTTGGTGTTCACTAGGCATTGTTCTAAGTGCTTGTCTTATACTGACTTAATCATTTCACCAACCCAATGAGGTAGGTATTATTATCGGCCTTATTTTATCGATCAGAAAACAGGCACAGAGAATTAAGACAACTTGTACAAAAACAAATTCTGGAGACAAATTTCAAAGTTTAGCAATCTGATATTAGATCCTGTGCTTTTACCCATTACACTGTATTGAAGAGAACAAGTAAAAGGTAAACTTCATTTATCAACCTTGGACCCCAAAATATATTAGCCAAAGAATTAAAACCAGATGTTTTCTTTGGACTTTGATTCACTATTAAAACAGAAGGGTCACTTAATCTTTAATGCTAGCCCTAATTTTAGAAAATGTTTCTTTTCTGTGTTGATGGATATTTATAGTTGTAAGCCTTCATTAGGGCTAGCATATTTTTTTTCGCAGTGTAAGATACGGTTAATAGCCACCTCTTGCTCTCAATTAAGTTTATTCCATATTTATGTATTCATTTTTATTTGAAAGGCACAATGATCGACCCACCCACACAGGATCAAATCAGACTATGCATTTGAAATAGTGACCGGCATATTTTATACTGGTGGTGTTTCTTCATTTTTTTTCGAGTAGGAAATATGCTGTGTGAAACTCCTCTGATCTCAGTCCTAGATCTGAACACCCAAACTTAGGTTTTTAAAACATGCACTCAGTTATGTCACCCTCTTGAGGTTAAATAATTATGTAGAATTAGAGATTCACAGTATCTCCTTCCCTATTAGTAGTCTAAGCACAAACTTTATTGTCAGTTTGCTGCCTTTGGCTCCTGTGCCCTTGATGTTCCCACAAGCTTTGTCGCCAAGATTGCAGGCAGATAAAGCCAGAACTGCTTTCGTAAAGGCATCTGAGCATCATTAGCAACTAACAGGTGGTCATTTCATTGTCCAGTTTCTCTGTAGAACATGGGAAAAAATATGCACTCTCAAGGAGTGAATTCAGAAAGTTAAGTGCTTAAATATACTCTCTTTTTAAAAAATATGATTCTAACCTGCCAACACTATTAAGTACTAATCAGATATTTTAAGATATCAGTTGAGTCTAACAGACAAGAAGCCAGAAAATTTAATGTAAGGGCCAAATCACTGTGGGAAATTCAAGACACCAGCATGGGCTGGGAGTGGAGCGCAGCTCTCCAGGGATGGCTATTATGGAAAGTGAAGAGTCAATCACAGAAAATGCTAACATATTTTTCCAAGTCTTCCACTGATGGCTACGAGGAAGTCTGAGTATAAATCTGCATCAGATAACCTTAGAGAGGTTTCATAACTTCTCTGAGCTTCACTTCCTAGATCTATAAAAATGGGTTTAATACCGTCCTTGAAAGAGCGTGTGAGAATTTGAAATTAGATATGTAAATACTTAGCTCACAGCAGGCACTCAATAAGTAAAAGCTCTTATTATTATCCTCTATGTCCCCAAGCAGATGGCACCAAAACAGGGCACGAGCCAAGGGTGGTGCCTGATGGAAGACTGGAGCAGGGCATATATACTTGACATCCTCTCCCTGAGGGTAGAGAAAAGAGGGGAAAGGAGCCAGGATTGGAAATGGGAACCATAGCTGCAAAAATCGAAATATGAGCAGCTGGTCTTTCCCCTGGCGACGCCCCAGGTGAAAATGGCAGCCAGGGCATTCTTGGGAGAAGCACACCAGGAAATAGTCGAAGGCAGCCCAGAGATGCTCTTGATGCTTTTATACCCAGAAGACCATGTCATTTAAGAAGTTCCAGTTGATGGAGAAGATTCAGCGTCTAGCCATTACACTGTTCCTTTAGGACATAGCTCTAGTGTCTTCATCCATTTATGTTTCATTAGTAGCTACACCTGAAGGTGCACAACAAAAAAGTTTTATTTCACTCATATATGCTTTTATTTATTTAAAAATTGTTTTTTGTATTTAGTTTATGCATTAGGGGTAATATATCCCATGTAATCTATTGCTAAACTGTAAACATTATTTTTATATAGAATCAACATTTTTAGCATTATAAATGAGCATCCCAAAATGAATATGAGTTAGAAGAATAACATCAAAAGTCAAGAGAACTAAAAAGAAATGAGTTTCCTTTTATCTGTCTTTTTATTAAATCATCATATAAAACAAATGTGTTCTGGGTGAAATCCTGTAAGTATTTAGACATTGATCTTCCAGTTTGATAGCCCCTTGGTAATAATAAGGTGTATGTACCAGTATACAGGGTAAAGAAGAAGTGGAAAAATTGGGTAGTGATACTTATACAATGTAGAAAATAAATATGCGTGTAAACCTTTAATGATATCTTATTTTAAAATGTGCCTGCAAAGAAATCATGGTCATGCCAAGTGGAAAAAAGTGTGATTGAGAAGGCAGTTAATGTTTGTACTGATGTAAATAATGATAATACTGGTCATCCACAACTGTAAGTGGACTGTTCTCAAAACTCATTTGTAAACTGGTTGCTCAGACCTCAATGTATTTTCTTAAGAAAACCATGTCCAAGCCACAGAAGCACACTTGAACCTTATGCAATCATTTAGAATGTTGTTTCCAGGGAACAGCTCATTCTGAGTTTATTGTACCTCTGACCCTAGCAGCTAAGACTTTCTAGTAGCATTGCTTTCCGTCTGGTTTTCTGTTCCTCCTCCCCTACTCCTGCACCAGCTCCACCAAAGCAATTAGGATTCTCAGATTGGCTTTGGCTAGGAGGACCCGGAACCCTAAAAATCTCCAGTGGTGGCGGTGAGGGGAAGCTGAGTCCCCAAGTCAGGAGAAGTGGATGAGAGAGAATGGAGGACTAGGGAGGGGAGCCTGCAGCGTGGGTGGGGAAGTGAACCCTCGGCAAGGGCAGATTGGGTAAGATAGGTGTGCGATGACAGACCAAGTCCGGCATTGTCCTAATGTTAACATCTGGTATCTCGGTGGTGTCTGTGTGAACGGCCATGATACTATTGTTTCAGTATGTCTGAAAAGTTTCACAAGTTAACAACTGGAGTACACGTGTACACACACACACATACACACACACACACACACACACACAGTAGGCATTACTCTAGTTCATAATTCAATACGAGAATATACATGTTTTCTAGTTGCAATTTCAAGACTTTTAAAGAAAGATCACATTTTCTGAATAT